GATCGAACTTTATAAAAGTAACCGGTTTTGATGTTAAACCAATCTGCTGTTGTTGTCTATTTTATTACTTTCTTAGATTTTTGAATAGAAACATACAAACTTTATAGTAAATACATAATTAATTAAATACTTTAATATTAATCTTGGTTTTTATCTAAACTTAACTTAATTTGTTTATTGTTTTATTAGATTATAAAATAATTATATTTAACTAAAAATATAAATATCTTAAAAAATCAATTAAGTATTAAAGGCTTAAAAAAGAAATATTTTTTATATAAAATCGAAATAAAGTCATAAATATTTTTTAAATAATAAGTATTTAAATTAAATAAAAATTATAAATATGTTTTTATTAATGATGATAACTGATATTTGAATATAAAATTTATACTAAAATATAATTTTTTAAAAAATTATTAAAATACTTTTAAAAAACATGTAGAACTTCTTATTTTTTTGTCGTTTAAATTTAAAAAAGTATCTATTAATTAAAAAACTTAATGATTAATAATTATTTTATATGATTTTAAATCATTTTTATATAAAATATCATTTATTGTTATAAAACATACTATTGAAAATTTGTTTTTGTTAATTAAAAAATTTTTCAGTCAATATAAATAAAAATTAACATTAATAAATTTCAATTAAAAATACTTATATATTATTTCAATAATCAATAAAAAAGAATTCAAACAATAAATAGTAACAATAAAATTTATAAAAGAGGTTGTATAATATCATCAAAAAAATATTCATTGAAAATTATAGTATTAATTTAAAACAAAGACAATTTTATATATATAAGTAAAAAGAATAAAAATTATAATAAAAAGGTCTTTATAATAACTGAAAAGTAAGTAAACAAGTTTTTTTTTCAAATCATTATAAAAAAGCATAGAAAAAGGTTTAAAATTGATTAAAAATTTTTTAAACAAAAAAATTATTAGAATTGAATATTTTGAAGATGTTTATTAATTAAAAATGTCTGAATAAATAAAGTTTTATAAATATTTTTTATTAAAAATATAAAAATACAATACAAAATATTGAAAAGACCCTTTTTATCATACTTAACTTTTATTAAAATCGTTATTATATAAATATTTAGTATTTTTTAAAAAAACGACTTATAATAAAAATAAAGAATATGTAAATGAATTCTAAAAAAATATTTTTTATAACTTGAATCTATTATAATCTTTAATAAAAAGAATGGAAATATTTATATTTTCAAATAAAATTTTTTCGATTAAAGTCTTTATAATATATAAAAAGTAAATTCATATTTTTTATTTGTGATAGATAACAACTCGTATTAAAGTAAAACAGTTTTAAAAGGAATATAAATTCCAAACAAAATAAAAAGAAAAATGATTAAAAAAGATTTTAAATATAATAAAGCAACAGATAAAGGTAGACGAAGTATTATAAAAATACTTTAGAAAAATTTAACATTTTTTTGTTATGAGTAACACTTGTAAATATTTTTTAAAAACTTTCACTTTTACTCTATATATCATGTAAAAGTTAGCATTTTAATTATATGAAAACGATAATAAAATTTTTTCTACCATCAAACTTATTTCTTAATTAAAAAATAAAAAAATTATTTAGTAAAAAAATTTTTAACCAAAAAATGTGAAAATATTTAATAAACAACTTTAAAATGTTATTTATAAAAAATTATAGATTTTTTTATTAATCAGAAACATTTATATTTATAAAAATGTTTTTTTTAAATAAAATTATTAATACAATCTAAAGAGTATTTAAATCTAAAAAATTTGAGATTTTGATGATAAACAATTTTTATAATTATTACAATATTTCTGTGAGATAAGTTTTATTTTTCAAATTTAAAATTATTAAAAAATGTCTTAAGTTAAAATCGAATCTACAATAACGAATCACACTTTTTTTAACTGTGAATTGATCCCAGATTTATATAAATTATAATAAAATATTTAAGTTATTTTTTAAGCCAATCTTATTTTATTACAAGATTTCTGTGAAATAAGTTTTCTTTTAACTTTAAAATTTTTAAAAATGCCTTATATTAAAATCGAACCTACAATAAAAAATCACTGTTTTTTTAACTGTGAATTGATCCCAATTTAAATAAAATTATAATAATATATTTAAGTTGTTTTTTAAATAAATTAAAAAATATTAATAATTTAATAAAAAACTTTTAAAAGACTATAATCAAATATGTAGTATGTTTTTAAACTGACATACAATTACAATACTTATAAAACAAATTTTTAAACTCTTTAAAAATTCTTTAATGAAAATCGAACAATTAAAAATTTAAGAATAGTTCTTACTTAAACTGAATCAAAATTTTTTATTTAATAAAATTAAATGTTTTTTAAAATAAAATAAAAAATTTTTAGAAAATGATCAGAGAAGAGAATCGAAATTTATAAAAATTAAAGCTGATATTTTTTTTTGAACAACGTCTTAATTTTTACTAATATAAATCTTAAAAAGATATTTAAATCAAATTTAATACACAATAAAGTTGTTGTGAATAGATAAATATAAAACATGTTCGTATTTATATCTAAATATCATAAAGTGGTGTTTAAAAAAAAGTCGGGTATTTTTTGAAAGAAAACATTAAAAAAATATATTATAGGTTAAATTTATATAATTATTTTACTTTTAAACAAATAAAGTAAATTTAATGTGAGAAAGAAATCAAAAAATATATCAAAAAATTATACTTTAAATCAAAAAATTTTAAAACACTGTTCAAAAAATAAGAGCCACTTTAATTTTCCCTCCAATTTTCATTTTTTAAAATCATTTTGAAGCCTTTTTATATGGCAAGACATTAATATGATATTAAAAAAGCTTTATTTTGTGATGACATTGATTCAGGATTGAGTTTAAACCAAATTTCTATTAAAAGAGGTTTTGCTAGAAGAACTGTACAGAGAATAGCTGAAGACCTAAAAAATAATGCCTTAATTAAACGTAAACAAGGTTCAGATCGTCCTAAACTATAAAATAATTTCATGAAGCAATTTATTAAAAATCCTCATAATATGAATCCATTTATTTTATCTAGGTAAATAATTCAAAAATCGAATAATGAATTTAATTTAAAGGTTTCAAGATCCATAATATCAAGAATTTAATAGTTTAGAACTTATTACTAACTTGGTATTGAAAAAACTTTATTAAAAACTGTAAATATTAAAAAAAGATTTGAAATTTTTAAAATTTTTTTAGGAATGAAGGATGAAACCCTTAAAAAGATAATTTTTTCAGATGAAGTAAAATTAAAATTTTTTACTGGTGATGGGGCAAGATATGTTAGATATTACCCAGGAGAAAGACATAACAGCAAAAACATTGTACCTGTAGTAAAACATGGAGGAAAATGTGTTATGGTCTATGGGTCTATATCATATCAAGGTGTTGATAGACTAGTATTTATTAAAAATACTATGATAGGGGCTGTTTATAAACAAATTTTAGCAAAAAAATTAAGATAGTCAGCCAATGAAATGGGTATTGATTCATTTATTTTTATACATAATAATGATCCAAAATACACTTCAAGTTTGTTAAAGACTGGATTGATGTAAAAGAAATTAACATCTTACCTTAGCCACCTTAAAGCCTAGATTTAAACCCTATTGAGCATATATGGGCTTTTATTAAGAAAGAACTTAGTAAAAAGTGTAAATTAAAAAAACAAGAATTTTAATAAGAAATCCTAAGGATCTGGAATTCCATAACACCCAAGATGGTACAGTTATATATTATGAGCTTTAAAAAGAGATTTCTAGTAATTTACAATGCTAAAGACAAACATGTTGATTATTAAATTTTAATTTGCTTTTTTTTGAACAGTGTTTTAAAATTTTTTAATTTAAAGTATAATTTATTTTATATATTTTTTGGTTTCTTTCTCACATTAAATTTACTTTATTTGTTTAAAAGTAAAATAATTGTATAAATTTAACCTATAATATATTTTTTTAATGTTTTCTTTCAAAGAATACCTCAGCTTTTTTTTGAAAACCACTGTATATAATTAAATATGTTTAATTTAAAATTGTTATTAATAATATAACATGTTTTTGATAAAAAAATACAAAGTTTATAATAGTGAAGTTTCTTCTATAGTATTTAAATAATTGTTCTTTTATATTAAATGATCTCAAAAATATACAAAAAATAAACTTATTGATTTATTAAGAACTTTTATTTATAACCTGATTTATTTGTTTATAAAATACATCAACTTTAAACTATTCCTTCTT